CAGAAATTGTTGTTCTTTTTCACAACAACTTTGTTGTTGTTCACAAGGACCTATTTCTTAGTTTAAATTTTATTCATAAAAGAGTGTTGGTATTCCACGCAACAGCCAATCACAGGAAGGTATTTCTGGAAGCTCTGCCTCCTTATGGACTCAGCACATCGCTCTAGCTCATGGCTTGCTGTTTCATCTCTTGTATATACAAACTTTGACTTTTTTCGATTACTGTTATAATTAATAATAGGAGATATAAAAGTTTTTACACAAAATGGCTAAATTCTGCCATTAAATGGACTTTGTCTGGTATACATACAAACAGGCACCAATTTATTACCATTGATCTATTATTAATTTCAAATGTAATGTATACTGTCTAGTTTTTTTCCTCTCGCCATTACTTGGTGCAGTATTTGAAAGTTGTCTTTTTATCGGTCTATCTATTATCTTGTATTTATATTTACAGGTTTCTGTGCTTGGAAGAAAACTCTGTATTGAATTGGGACTAATTTATTAAATAATATTATTTAGTATTAATTAATATTTACAATTATTATTAATTACAATTATTTATAGCTTAGTTACTTTCGTGTAACTCGCAATTGTACATTCTTAACTTTAATAGCCCAAATTAGCACATCTTGCTTAGCCCAAAAAAGTAGCAAGTAGCGAAATTAAAAATTTGGGAGCGCGGGGCTCTCAAAAGTAGCCCAATCTGGCAACCCTGGTATCAGTCTCTAGGCGACAGCGAGAATACCGAGGAGAGCTTTGCTTCTCTCATTAGGCTAATGCGTTTGAAGCGAGTATATTATTGGGATAATCTACTCGCTACAAAACTTACACAACACTGTATCTAATCTACCCAACAACGTAACATGAACGTACGTTACACCACGTATTTCCTCATGGCCTTAACCACGGTTAATTTGTATAAGGGATTGAGGGTTAACCCCAGTCTTTCTTAAAGGTCATAGCAAAATTGTTTAATCAGTTCTCAGTTGTTGGATGCACTGGTAGACACATTATTTTGTAAAACTGTACCAGCTTGCAGGTAAATAGGTATTGTATGCAGGTAAATGCATTGTATGTATTAGCTCTATCTATAAATTCATCAATATTTGTATCACCCCTTGTATGTATGTACTATAACTGAATAAGCATTTGAATAAATGTAGCCAGACCCGAAAAAATAAAAGGCTGGCAGAATAAGGTGATAGAGTATTATTAAGTAAGTAATTATCAAAAGAAGGCACCAATGAGTATTATTAGTTGGGGGAAATTTTTTTAAATGCTTATTTGTGGAAAACTGAATCACTAATTTACACTGGTGGAACCGGTTATTAACTCTGATGTGTATCGCCCACTTGCCAGCGTCGTCATCTATACAAACATGCTAGATTATAGTATTCCAATGTGAATAGACGGGGCGGCCTGTGTGTCTTCGTTTGCCACATGTCTTGACAAATTAAAAAGACACCAACAAGGCTAGGATTCTACAGGAAATGGAGAAGCTGTTACCAACAAAATTTTTCAGTTTTCACAATCGGATATCAATTCACCTCGAGAAAGGTGAAAACGTTCCATAAGAATCTACAAGAAAGTCAAACTAAATGGCCTTGTGATTGCATTGCATATAGGTAGATCAAAGTAATGACAAACTATGCTTCTTTGTCGCTTATAACCTCGGGTAAAACTCAGGTAGCTGGGTAGAACCTGGGAACTTTTATGCATTGCTAAATGTTTTAGATGTTCACAGCCAAGCAAGGGGAAAACAGCCAGGTAGAGGCCATACCCAGGGAAGCAGACTGACAAAGAACCCGGGAGAAAGCTGGGTTAAACGTGCAGTTTGCGAGAGCAACCGTAGGAATGGTTACCTAAAAAGTATGTAAAGGACCTACGGGAATTCGAATACGTGAACTCTAGTAAATATATAGAAGCAGACTGTGGAGATTTACTCGATTACAAGGAGTTGACTAGTATATTTTGTCCTCCCTCAAGGATGGGGAGACTCAGTTTAGCAATAAAGGCTTTCAATCTGCATTTGGCTTGAATAGTCTTGTGATGGGTGTGCGAATGGGTAGTACACTCCTCCCACCGTAACCAGCAATGGGAAACGGCTCTGGCGAGGTTACATATGGGTCATACCTGTACATGTTTAACTCATGGGCACTTAATGGAGCGCCACCCTGCACATTATTGTCTGAATTGCATTGTCCCTCTTACGGTCGTGCATATCCTTGTTAAATGTCCCAACGTGTAAGTCGTGCGTATCTTGCTTCCCAACTGTCCCTTGCGGTCATTTATCCCTCGATAGAATCCTTGGTGAATCGAATACCTTTGATATCGTTTGCCTTGTGTGATTTTGTTCTCGTATTGGCATCCTTGGTGATATTTAGTGCCTTTTGAATATCCTACACCTTTGAAGGTGTTGCATGTTCTCAGTCTCCCCGGCTTGGTGCCTCCTTTTGAGACTTACTGTACAACACATATGATCTGGAAATTTCAGTTTGAAGTGAATGGAACATAAGTCGGAGGATGTATCAACAATAAGCACAATGAAATCGCAGTAAGGTATATCTGAAAATATCTTTGCAGCAGGAAGTGAAAATTGAATCCACGTCTCGGGTAACCCCCATAACTGCTCAAAAGGTTTTCCAATTGAGTAGATAGTATTCAGGTGGAAGGTAAGTGTCCATATAAGGTAATTCGATGCTCGCAGATGGCTAGTTGAACTGTTTGGAGAAGTGAGATGGTGTCTTGTGGTACTTGCTTCAATATATGTAGACATCATTCAGCCAGATTTCAAACCTTGTCGAACTTTATTTATTTATTTATTTATTTATTTATTTATTTATGCATATACAAGAATGTACATAAGGAATGTGAGGATACAATTATGGTAATTACAGTCTTGTAAAGCCACTAGCACGCGCAGCGTTTCGGGCAGGTCCTTAATCTAAGAAAATTTTAAGGAGGTAAATACTTGCAAAATTTATAGACAAAAAAATGATAACAGATTACATGGAATGAAAAAAAAAAAAAAGATGAGAGAAAATTATAGGTACAGTATATTAAAGCACATAGGTAGCTATGATTGATTGCAATGACAGCTTAAAATGGTAGTTGACAACAAATTGGTAGGCACAATACAGCAGAAACAATATAAGATTGATTGCAATGACAGCTTGAATGGTAGTTGACAAAAATTGGTAGTCACAATACAGCATATGGCTAGCACATAAAAGAAGACAGCAATGAACACAATGATAAGGTTGTTTGATATTACATAAAAATTAGGAGATTGGGTACCACTAGGTACAGAGCAAATTTAAAGCTCAGTGTAGGAAACTAAATAGATGAAGTTAGGTACTTTTTGGTTTTGCTTTTAAATAAGGCAAAAGTTTTACAGTTTTTCAATTCACTAGGGAGTGAGTTCCATAGACTAGGTCCCTTAATTTGCATAGAGTGTTTACACAGATTAAGTTTGACCCTGGGGATATCAAAGAGATATTTATTTCTGGTGTGGTGATAATGGGTCCTATTACATCTGTCCAGGGAGAGTTTCAGAGCATGGTTTGCATTTAAGAACAGGGTTTTGTAATTTAATAATAATAATCTAATAATCTAATCTGTCCAGGGAGAGTTTCAGAGCATGGTTTGCATTTAAGAACAGGGTTTTGTAATTTAATAATAATAATCTAATAATCTAATCTTTAGATTAGAATATGTTTTGACTCACAAGAAGCCTCCGAACTTAGACAACCCCACCTAACGAGACCGTTACTCTTCGGAAGCTTTAATGTCGCGCTGATTTCAATGTTGCTAAACCTCTGGAATGTTGACGTTGTGGTTGAAAAAGAAATGGGCAGTAAGTGCGAGGACAGGATGAATCATCACTGTCATTAGACGAGAACTCCTGGATGGATTTGAAGAAAGTAGAACTGTGCAAACTGGAACTAGCAGGTCCATTGTTCATCACAATGAAATGTGTTAAGTAAAACACGTGTATGGGGCAAGTAACAAAGTAGACTAACAGATGTTGTCACAGCTCATATAAGACTTGGCTACAAGTATCTCTGGTAGATCGGCTTGTATAGGGATCTAGATGAAGTGTAAAGTGTAAAGTGTGGACAATGACGGACACACACTAACACTATTATCTTGGATTGTAGTAAAATTGAGCCATTTGGAGATAAATATAAGCTCACTCTGTATGATATGGCAACCTATCTTATTACCATGGATAAATTACCTGAAATCCTTGCACTAACCATATTTCGCTTCCAGTAGATAAACGACATATGAGATGAAGAAACAAGTAGTATTGTGAAGACTAATAATAAACAGGAGCTACCCTATGACTATCTCCATTGGTCAAACTATTATGTATTAGTGATAAGACCTACCATTAATGTATAATGACTTACTGTAAATATATAGCTCTTGAAATAGCACTTTCTCTGTAACTAGCTGACATTGTAACTATAAGGTGTGAAGGATAGATGAAATTGTTTATGTAATAATCTAAGATGAGGTCTGATAAAAACCTTTTGTGCCCCTCTGTAATGCTTTTTGCTCACAGGATGGGTATGGGGTGCACAATAAACTAGCCGCCTCCGGAGGCAACATCAACGTTGGATGCAGTGGCAGACTCATAGTTACCTTCCTCCTCCATCTGTCCTGAAGATCTAATAAAGGCAGACACTTGTGTGCTCTTGTGATTATGGTACAGATGATTAAAATTTAAAGTAGTAATTAAAAAAAAATTGCATATAGTTGTTGCAATGGGAATTTTGCTGAAGAAGGTATCCGACATGAATTTGCCCATTGAAGCAGGATTCCACTGTATAATATTGTACTCATTTGTCAGAGAATTTAAGAACGGCTAATTTTAAATGTTTATTGCTTATTCAAGTATCTTAATCAATCCCTAATCTGTTTCCTAAAGCATGCCTAATCTTCAAAAGGAAATTTTCATGCCTATTTGATAAATGATTACAAATGTGGTAGTGGTGTTGCTTTTTATTTAATACAATATGCAAGCATATTAGTGCATTAATAATATTCATAACACTTCTTCAACATATTACATAAAAGAATATACTGTATATAGTTCTTGCTTATATATAATGTATATATTAAGCCCATATGTAATACTCAAAACTAAATTATTGTTTTTGGAATTCAGAAATTAAGATTACAAACAATGAAACTTGGAATTGTGTTTAAAGCTGGGAACTCCACATCCATATTAAGAAACATTGTTGACAAATATTATTAACCAATCAATTCATTATCTATGTACTCAGTGATACCTTTTGGTCAGATTCACATATACTGTGTAATACAATTTTAAAATATAGTGTAGATATAGGCCTATGCTGTTATTCAAGTCCTAGACAAAATACTAGCATAGTATCACACACCACATTTATTGATACTAGTTTTGCAAGCGGGCATATTTATTCTAGTTACCTGTTACGTAATTCAATTAACATGGAAAATTATTTGATGTGACATTTTAAAATTAATCATATACCTGCTAAAATAGATATAAGTATAGTTACGAAAACAGAAGCATAAACACCTTTCTAATTTAATGAACTTAAAATATATACTAGATATATCAACTCCTCTTGAATACAATCAAATCCTTCCTCTAACACTAACCATGATAAATAAAATGCAGTAGTTATACTGGAGGTACATTATAAGTATTTAATGGTTTAAATTAAAGAAACATTTGATTTACAGTACTCTAAAGTATATCTCAGGAGGCATAGTTTTTCCATGATTTTGTCCTCACCCAGAATATAGAAAGCCTGTTTCCTTCTTTAAATATCAACTAGTATCCCATTTTACTAATTGCTGTAAAATTGTAGGAATTTCTTAGTCGTAATCATCCAATCGCCTGCAAGTGGTTTCTGCCCTATTTCATTCCTGAAAAAATAAATTCTAAGTTTAATACTCATTCACTAATCTACAACATTGTTAACTCCAACCTACAGCATAATTAACCCTTGGCATGTTTTGTGCACATAGAGAGGAACCAGGTTACAGGAGTCATCGACTCCAAGGACACGTGGATACTCATTTTACTGACTTGTCACAAAGGGTTAAGCAGTCCGAGACTCAAGTTGCATGGTTTTTATATTTGTTTCACTTGAGTTTACACAATGTGTGGAATAACTATATGTACACAATTGACAAAAACAGATTCTCATTATCTGCTGATGTAGACCTGACCAAATATAAACCATCAACAAAATTATTCGCACACCCTCCGTCACTATGTGATAGAGTGCGAAAAGATACGTGAATTTAGAGACAATTCTATAACCAATGTTCCAGCGATGTGTAAATATTTCATTCAAAATGATCTGCTACCAGAAATTTTTGCCAAATATCCCCAGTTTGCTAACTGTAGGTAGTAACAGTGATTGTAACCTATCCACCGCTGCCCACTGGATGAGGGGCAGTGTGCAGGACAAACATATAAATTTTGACACTAGCTCTCCACACATGTCAGTTGCTTAATTTAGAACCTGTACTTGAGGTCGATCTCGAACCCATTGTTGATGTGACGACTTATATTGAATTTTGTAACTAGCTCATCAAGATTGTAACTTGCTTAGCTAAATGAATTGTGGGGTTCAGTCCCTGAGCCCATTATGTGCCTCTGTAACCCTTTCCACTACCGCCCAGAAGATGGGTATGGGGTGCATAATAAATGAACTAAACTAAAAAAAAAAAAAAACTGGTACAGCTCAAAGACAGCGTTCTTGCAACCCACTTTTCTGATATTCTGTCTGGAAATGGTATTAATAAAAATCTATGGAATTGGATTATAAGTGGAGTGTCAGGAATGTATTACAGTGTAAAATCATGAGTTGATGTACAAATTAATAGTTACAAATATAACATGTATTAATAATAATACTGTACCTTACAAATTTTATGATAGCGCATGAAGTAAATCATCATGAATGTCTTTTGACATCTTAAAATTTCATTTCTCAATTTTCTACAAAGTTCAAATAAAGAAATTATTATGTAAAACATTCATTTTATTTATTTATTATTATTATTATTTATTATTATATATATATATATTATATATATATTATATATACTGTATATATATTATATATATATATATATATATATATATATATATATTATATATACACACACACACGAGATAGATATTAACTAATATACACAATTCTTTTGATTCTTCTAAAACACACACAGACAAGCTTTTCAGATCTAAAAGACGTGAAACACACACTCACCTGAGACATTACTCTTAAAACTGGATTCCTGCCTGAACGTCCCACAGTGTGTCTGCGGATTTCTTCAACTGATCAATTTCAGCTTGTGTTAGTGTCTGCTTGATGACATGGGTGACACCATTCTCGCCTAATACAACAGGCAGACTCAGGAAAACATCCTTATCAATATCATGGTAACCCTAGGGAGATATTAATAAAAATTAAAATACAGTACTGTACTTCTTTACAGTGCATACTTCTATCTATGTTGCACAAGAATAAAAGAAAACCTAAATTAATGAGAGCACTGAAGTTAATTTTCAATAAACTAAATTACAATTTTAATCTGGCATTTAATGAAATGCTCTATCACTATATAAATAGAGTACTGTAAATAAAAAATGTATTGTAGTTATGAATCTTAAATACTCTCACACCACAGAGTTTGTAAACCATAATATTAAACACAAGCAAGTGATTAAAAAATTGAGCTAAAAAAAGAATCTCAATACAGAAGAATCACAAATTGAATTGATTGATAAATGGAATTAAGACTAATTCAAGCATACTCAAGAGACAGCATAATACTGTACATACAAGCATTCTCAGAAACATAACGAAAACAATACACCAAAGTACTTTATACCTTCAGTGAAACGATGAATTTATCCAAGATCCTAACTGTCTAAGAGCTATTTATTTTGTTAAATACTGTACATCTACTACACCATTATCATAGGAGAGTTGTCATTTACTATAGCGACTGTTCCCATATAGCAGTCATTTCATTTCATATTTAAATTTCATTGATTTATGAATTTCATTGTGAAATCAAATTGATTTCACAATTTTGTATCATTCTTTTCTTCCTGTCAACCTCCCCCCTCCCCAACCCCTCTCTCATCAGCTGTAATGACCACTGATATTCCTAAATTAATAACTTTTAATACTAGAACTTCTGTATATGCTATACTCACTATGACATTGAGAAACAGTATGTTAATGATTGACATCAAGTTAATTATGAATAACCAATTTTCAACTAATATCCACTAATAAATTTGGCGAGTTAAATACATAGCAAGAGCTTACACAAATGTAAAGTAATGTATAAACTCATCAATACTGAGTTTGTGCTATCAATGTGCTTTTATTGTATTTCACTAAACACAAAGGCAGTTTGTCGCCCAGTTTCTTTTGCATACTCATATCAAAGATTTACATTAGCCATAATTCCCACCCATTCTTTGACCACAGCTAACTTTTTCAGTTTTAACTATCAAAGTTTCTTAAATATTTTTATTTTCCAATTCATTTCATTATCTGGGTTCTACATGTTTAGTGTGTACTGTATATTAGGTTATATAGTGCACTATGTTAGGTTTAACAAGTGTGTGCACATTCGTTAGGCTTATGCTGAACTGTCTGATAAATGAGGTACTTTTAAGAACTTTCAGTAATGCTCAACATATTCTCTCATCTTTTCTGTGGCTTGCTCCTTTACATGTTCAGTGATATATTCCAACAATTATGTGCCTACAACAGCAACACCCAGAGGAGCACAATTTAAGATAGAAACTAAGAAATACCTACTGGTAATTAACATCATATAACAAAAATTCTCTCACACTACTTCCCTCTAAATAAGCAAATTTGTGCTTACTGTTATTGTTAAATACTGTACTATATCTGTTGTGTTACTATGCTGTAGTTACCATTGAAGTAGCACCTTTATTATAAAGCAGTATGCCTTTCATCATTTATTATCACTTAAAAAAACACTGTACAGTTCAGACAATAAGGAGAAAGGCATTGTTCCATGATTTAAGTGAAGATTACCAATATGCAACCTCGCCTGGTCAGAGACCAGGTTGCGGGGGATGTCGATCCCCGAAATCAACGCAAGGTAGCCACAGCCATTTTCCACCATCTGTTACTGTGACAGGAGAAAGGCCAAAGGCAAAAAGGTCACATTTAGAAACACAGTTTGTTACCTGTAATGCCAGGCCAACAGCCTTGGTAATGCCGCAAATTGTTGAACGACTGGGTAGAAATCCAAATAAGGAATCCATTCCTTTCTGAGAAATGTTTCAAGTATGAATGGGCTCATTAGCAGTGGTGCCTTAAAGTTCAATCAAAGTAACTGTAATATGGCTGGGAACCAAGGAAAATTTGACTGTCTTATATCTGCTAGAAATGAGAAACGGCCAATATTGTATTGAATTTTGACCACCACAGGATACAGAGGAACAAATCCACAAGGGTCGTGACGAGGATTCGAACCTGCATCCGAGGGCATCCCAGATGCTGCCTTAATCGACTTTTGACCATGGTCAAAAGGAGTTGAAACCGAAGTTCTACTGAACTTGCTGGATTCTGCAGCCTCTCCGAGACACAAACCAGGGTTTTACACAACTCCCCCATGCACTGGAGCTATGTCAATAAGCCGTTCTCCCTCTTCACCCTTACTTCATTACTTCATTGCTCGTTCATTTGATGCATCATGCAATTGTGATTTCTGTGTGTAAGGATACAGAGGGCTAAAAGACTCCAGAGTCATGAGAGCACTGCGAGACAACCCCCCAATGACAAAGGAATGTTTATGCTCAAAAAGTATCTGATGAAGAGTACAAAAAATGGCATGAAGTTCTGCTGTGAAGCCTCTCTACAGTTTTCAGGGCCGGCAGCACAGCTTTGATCAGGAAAAACACCGGAGTAGCCAACACCAGCAGCAGACTTCAGTCCATCAATAAACAGAGCAATGGAGTGTTAGGGTGAGAAAAAATGTTCAAAGAAATGGATTTTCACAAAAGTAGGAAGGGTATAACCCTTCACCATGTAGGTTAGTATCTTGCAAAATTTCATAAGCAGGACCCTCTATGGGGGCAGGGTAGGAACATTAATGATGTTGAAAATAAGGACCGAGAGAGAATCTTACTAATGAACCACCCTTGCAGGAAAAGGAAGGTGGTGAGAGGGAACATGTTCTTCTTGAGACATTGATCTTGCATTGATCGGCAAGTTACTTGCATCAGGCAATGCCTGATGGAAGTAACTTGCCGATCCTTAATGCAGTCTCTCTTATGTGTTTGGGTTCCATGCTTATGTTCATTTTAGATTATAATCTTATGTGCACATAGTGTACATTCAAGATGCCATTCAAAGAGGAAAGTTTCACTTTACTCAGCACTTTCTTTATAAACATTATGCAGTAAATTTGTTGAACTTCAGAGTAATCCCTATATTATCCCATTGAATTCTTCTCTTTCTATATACTGTACAGTTACTGTAATAATATAGGTTGTCCATGTCAGTAAAGAAAATTTATCTTCTCATATGAACCACTACAGGAATCTCTCCAATGTTAAGATGTGCTTATCTATTAATGTTAATCTGGAGAGATCTACTTTTATCCTGCCCCATAGCTGTTGATAACCTGGTACAAGTACCGACCCTCTAGTGCTTTGACAGATCTGTTTATAAAGCTGTTGATGGAGTTTGCCTCTACATCTTTATCATTAAGAACATTTCAGTTGTTTACCACATGCACTGATGAAATACTTCCTTATATTCCTTTGTTTCTAGCCTTCACTTGCAGGCTACAGTACTCTTTGTACTGTTTCCTCTTAGGTAAAACAGGTTTTCCATGTTCACTTTCTCTGAGCCTCTCAAAGTCTTGTACATTGTTATCATACCTTTTGCTTGTTCTCTTTTCTAGTAATCTTTGACTGAATTTTTTGTCTTCATAGTCTGGTTCTCTTAATTGTGGAATCAGTCTTATGACAACTCTGGAGGCCTTTTAAGGTTTTTATGCTTCTCAAGGCATGGCTCCATGCAGAGGCTGCATACCCTAGGACTGGGTTGATGTAGATATATTTGGTAACATGTCCCTTCCAGAGAACATCAGGTATCTTAAGTAATACTTTCTTCAGTTACACAATTATGCTGTCACTGGTACACAAATTTAAGGGCTGCAAATTATTTAAATGACAGCATATTTTAAGAATGGGGCATGATATAGGTGTTGGCATAACTTAGTGAATCTTTATACATATTAATATCAATCAGCTAACATAATGCATTTTTGAATGATCTTATAGATAATAGCCTATAATATATTACAAATATTTAGAACTACAAGAAGTCAGTGATTTAAGTACTCCTCAGTTACGTTTCCATGAGCTACTAATGCCAAATAGTACTACAAGATGGAAGATAGAGGAGTCATTATATTCTAGTGCAAATATTAAAAATTTGAAATATTATTACAGTAGATTAGAATTCTAACAATTTATAGCATTCTCCTCAGAAATGGACAAGACTAAAAGTTTAGTTCTAACATATATTTTGACCAATATGAACATTATAAGATATTGGGAAAAGTAAGGATGCACTGAAGTAAATCACAGCTGACAGACAAGAAATATATATATATATCCAAATTCCTTAATTATGAGTATCTTAATTAAATACCACAAACAGTATCCTCAATGAGATTCCTAATACTGTACTTGCATAAATAGTTTACTACAATATATATAAATAAATATTCAGTATACACTTAGTTTTTGTTAACCATCACAAATGGATAAATTAAAAAAAAAAAAAGTCACTGGTACTCATAATGAAGGTTTTGGGATTTGTATAAAATATCAAGAGAAATTGTATTTGGTGACCAGCAGGGATATCTTGCTACTCGTCTAGAACCTTCTTCGATACCTTTACAGACGTCGATACAGCAAAAATACGTCTCAGATTCGAAAGCAAAGCCTTGGTAAGAACCGCACATGATGTTCCGATGGCCCACGATGTGTAACCCTTCAGCCTGATCACTTCATATGCGCTGCAAATAGCAGCCAACATACATATGTACACACATATACTGTAGTATAAATATAAGAAATTAAATACAATGATTGTAATCCTAACCTAACTCACACTATGCCAGACCTACCTGAACAGCAACAGAGATTGCGTAACAGGCGCGTATATTCTTCAAAATAGATGATGAAAGGGAAGCTACGGAGAGACCAATAGCCCAAGAAGTGTAGCCCTTCAGCTTGATGATCTCATACGCACTGTAACACCATACAGTATACAATGCCAAGCACAATTATATGCTAAATGCTACATCAAGTTACAGAGTCCATGTTTTCAACAGCAAAACATTTTTAAATCTGTATTTTCTAATTTCATATCCATGAGGAAAGTACTTGATTAATTATTTTTTCAATATACAGTTCTGTACTGTATATTTTAGAGCTGCTGTTGAAAAGATGCTACAGAAAGGAAATTTGTGCTCTTTTATAGATCTTTAAATAGCACATGAAAATGCAATTATGTATCCGAATTAATGTACTGTACAAAGAGGAAGGGATTTGACGAATTATGAAATAGGATTCTACACAAAATGCCGAGAGCTCTGCATAACAAGGCAGTGATAGTTCAAAGGCACAGAGCAAGTTAAGAATGTAGTTCAGAGACATCTATTCATTTAATGTAACACAAGTAAACAAGGAATGATTACACAGGAAATTGGTGGTAACAAATTTATATCATGAGAAACGTTTGTATAATTTGCTATTTTGTCCGGCACATTGCTGGCCGAGTGGAATAGTCCCCTGTATATCCATTCCTTATCTATGAAGCTTTAAATTAAAAACAGCAAATAAGCTGAGGTCCCTGCTCTGCAACTGGTTTTTTATTAAACCAGTGATGTAATTTTACTACAGCGCAAGTGAAGTTGACATATAACTACAGTTTAACTCTATTTATGATACACGAGAAATTTGTTAAATCAGAAAAATAAGTTAAAAGCTGCAATTCAAGCCGTTATTACATGTTTTAATGTGTTACAAGACATTCTGAAACCAAACAGCCAAAATTCAGAGACTAAATTTGTAATAGTATATAACTGATGGGAATTAATTATTAGTATTATTATGCGTGTAGTTAATGGGAGTGATATGAAAAAGCACACAAGAAAATAAAAAATAAAATACATAGGAGTAAAGTAAAGCATAACTGTAAGAAATAAAATTAATAATAGTGAAGTGAAAGGAACCTAGGTAAAAAAAAAAAAAAAAAAGCATGAACCATCATTAGAGAGAAATTTTGATGCAACAGAAGGAAAATAACTGCTTCACTTGTTTAAGGGCCAAGCTAGAATGTGGAATGTTTGTGTAAACAAGCTGCGGGTGTCATTTTGTGCCTCCTTGGAGGTGAAAGATACCATTTCCATTTATAAGAACCAAGCTCATGGCTGCTAAACTCATTTAAATTAATTAATATTTTTTTTCTTACTAAAATTTTTTAAAATTGAACAATTTTAATGCCATACTCTCTGCATTATCCTAAGGGTTTAATAAATTGTCACTATTAGTAAATTTGAATAGGGCAAACTTATATACATATACCCGTACTGTATACAAGGGATAGAGGGGTGAACCTAATCACAGGTGATGACGGATTTACCCTCCAAAGATAATTTTTTCTCCTATGCTGCTTGAATTTTATGAGAAAGAATAGTAGTAGAGTACAGTATATGGGCAAGTTACAGCCTAGACCACAGGCTACAAACTGGAATGAGTCAACCCAATTTCTCCAAAGCTACCAACCTGTTTCAAACTTGTTTCAAGGGGTAACCTATATTCACTTTTCTATACATTTGGCAACACATTAAACATGCACAGACTTTTTGGGCAGTACTTAACTTATTCTTGGCTGCATTTTAATAAATTTCAAAAAGACAATAGGAATTTCAGAGCAAATACTGTATGCGATTTCAAGCTGGCATGAAAGCAAGTTAAGCATTATTACTTAAGAAATATTTATTGCACAGGAAGCAAAACAGAGATGCTAGGGTATATGTCACTGAATAAATGTAATCTATAAATATCAAGAGTGATAAGGGCTCAAAAAAAATAAAGGAGAGAGTTGTAAAGCATCATAAATAAAAATACTGTATAAATTTAATGAAAGTATGTTAATCATTCATAAATGAGAGGATAAAAGTCATGCTGGGAAAGAATTTGTTTGTCCTTTACCTCTACTACATTAAAATAATCACTATGGGATTTATTTCAGTATTTTGTGCAGAGTGCAAAACACTATAATATATAGTAACCGATTGTTCTCCAGAATAGTTACTCTTACAGTATTATTTTTAATATGGAACCAATATTCATACTACGGGACATTATTATTATTATTACTACTACTGTATCAATGCTGGTAACTTGCACCCCTTATATTACTGTATATTGGAAAGCTGTTCCATAAATGTATATAATGTAACCAGTTTATACACAATACTTATAAATATAAAATTATTATTATTATTATTATTACTATTAATGGCTTCAAAAATGGTTAAGAAAAACCACTGAAATTTGTTGGTTTTCCTGGAGAAAACTAATACATTATGAGAAGAAACTTTAAATGTACATTTTCTCCTTATACAGTAGTGCATTTTTCTGGTTAAAGTTCTAGAAAGAGCATAAGATTTGTTAGTCATGTAACAGCTACCCAGTGAGCACAGTTGGTTGCAAGCGACTGACATTACATACTAAACAGTATGTAATGTCAATTGCTTTCAAACAATGGTGCCCATTAGGTAAGAGATGGGTTAAATAATCACAAGCAGATATAAATATCACAGGTTAATTATACAAATTAATGGACGACACAAAGGTTATATAGATAATCACACATTGAAATTTTCACAGAAAAAAAATAAAGAAAAAATATTAAAGGTGCATTGCATAATAGCCGTGATTACAAAATCTCTTATTATTATTTTTTACCTTTGATGAACAGATACTCCAGTGTAATATTTACCATACCGAATATCGTATAGTGATATGCATACATATGTGAGAAGGCACCATCTAGTGATTTAAATCATGATGCTATTCTTACGCTACACTTATTGACTAACTACTGTATGCCTTACTTAAAAAAAAAAAAAAAAAAAAAAAAAAAAGAGGGTTATGTCTTTACTACATTTGCTTTACTAGTCTAAATTAAATAGGTTTCTGATGCACATGCAAATTTAACCCTTTCTGTTAGAATAAAGGCTCTAGGTAAGGAGTTGTACATTTTGTTTACAGCTATAGGCTTATATTTATGTATTAAATTTATCCTACTCAAGCAGATTAATAGAATACAAAAATAACAATAAGTGATGCAAGTAATAATTATCAATTTGCAACATCTACAATAATGAAGGTATCTAATTCCCAATTCTATCTTGCACTAGTTAAGGAAACCTTCTCGCATGACAGCTGCTCCATTCAAACACTGTGATTACACTATTACCTTACAAACAACAGAAAGGATTAGTGAAAATTGTAAATAATCACAAATCAAGTTAATGTCCCATCCTTACCTGTTCATTATTGGGAAGGTGTCATTTAATTACTTCCATTGTCACACGTCTAGATACATTAGTTTGATCAAACAACTACTATCTATAATCTAGAAAAAATTGTTATGGCTGATAAATACAAAAATTATAAAAACCGCACTTTTAACTGGTCATTAAATCGTGCTCTATCTGAACTGCACAAAGAAAATATTCATGGTGAATACTTGAACCATACTAGAAAATTGTACATATACAGTAGTTTCATATATGCAATGTTAAGTAAGTAAGTAAGTAATTATCAAAAGAAGGCACCAAACCATATGCAATGTTAAACTTAAGGTGTTAAAATAAAAATTGCAAGTAAATGTGCACTTCAGTCAGCATTTTCAAAGACTACCGATTCAAAAGTGTTAACTATCAGATTGCTTAGTCATACCTTCACTAAAATATTAATACAGTACTGTAGTTTATTTTGCTTCACTAAGACGTTATTACAGAACAATTTGATACATGAAAACTTTCTCAGTACTTCCACCACATTCCTAAGGCAGGAATTTGCTAAAAAAATTTAGTCTTATGTGTCTGTAGACCAGTAGTCACTGTACTCTGTTCACAACCTAAAGGTCCCAGATTCAGTTCCTGTGGCAGGACAGATGTTTGTCCAGTTATTCCACTTTATGCCTCTGTTCACCTAGCAGTAAACAGGTACCTAGGATAAGGCAACAGACAGGATAAGATTGTAGACAGTTGCGCAGGACATCTTTGGAAAAGGCAGTAATTGGTCTAGGGGGTCGCTGATAAGCTTAAAAAGGTTCCCGTCTCTGACAATGAAAAAAACGTAATCTTTGGTAGAAATTCATAAATGTAAAGTAGCGTAAACAATACATACTAGCCCGAGAGTAAACACTTCATACTAAGAGCAGCCAATCAATGCAACTTCCTGCCACCTATCCACCATGGGCACAGCCTGAATGTATCTATTTATGACGGGCATCTCCATACAATCACTACTCAATGCAACTCCAGGAAATCTCTCAAATTTTCTACTGCTTCACACTCGACTCTGCTCTGGAATCAAACTTGGATTCAATCAGTTATGAACCGGTTCCAATAGCCACGGTGGAGTACCTGTACCATGCAGTAAACAGTTCACCACATGTTAATATTCTTTGGAGCTACTGATGCAGGGTGAAAACTTTCTTTACTGAATATTACACTAGAAAGTGAACCCTGTAGTATATATAAATATTAACTATTTTGACAATGGTACTCCACTAACATGCAATATACTATATTTTTTTTTAATTTCAGTGTGTTATATCTTTTTGAAACGTGAAATTGTTAACAAAATGGTAATAACTAGCATCTGATAGTCAACAATAATCATGGCACAAAAACACCAGTTCTGAATGTAATGAAATGCCTCTTTCTGTTAGTCCCAGTGGCTCCATGAAGCTAACTCACCCAGATGGGTTTCCACTACTGAGTCACATCAATCATAAGAGTCCTGTTTGGCCTATCTGGGGCCAGAACGAGAACCTGGCCTAATCACAGAAGTACGGAGAGCTGGAGATTGTTGTGATTATTTGCACTATGAAAGCATCCAGAAAGTAAGCAAAGCAATACATACAATTGTTAAGGTCATAAAATGAAGCATTGAAACTGCTAAATGACTCTACAAGTGATTCACTCAAAACGAAATTGTTCATTTGAAGATTCACTAGAATACTTTAGTGTGCAAAGCCACCAACAGATGGCCTGTAGCTCCCACTCCTGGGTCAACACCGGGTCAGTCCAAAGCAGATAAACCTCAAACCAACGTACATGTACCTGGTAGGGGATGAGGGAGTTGGGGGAGTCATTAGGAATCTCCCAGAAGGAGACATTTCATCACATTCAATACTGGTTTTCTGAAAGCCTCCAGAGACTTCCTAAAGCTATCTAACCACAGAATAAAAGCAGGGGATGTTCCATAAAGATTTTAGCAAGGAGAATGTGAACTACACGAGTTGCTATGACTTGTAAAAACCTCCCAATCACCCAAACAAGCAGTTCTAAGCAAAGCAAAAGGAGCACCACCTAAGAACACCTGAAAGACAAAACTCACTTTTGCCACTCAAGCATCTGGGAATGACCGAATCCATGCCAAACCACCAAGGAAAGAATTATGTTGACTGAAAGCCAGGATGAATCGGGAACCTCATTTTTAACGAAGGTTAGATATGAGGTTCCTCATATCTAACCTACGACATGTATCATTTCTAATACAACCGAATCTCATATCGAACGTAGGTTCGAACCCTCGTCACGGCCCTTGTGGATTTGTTCATTTGATGCATCACGCTATTGTGATTTCTGTGTGTAATGAAGTAAGGGCAAAGAGGTAGAACAGCCTAACATACTGGACATAACTGGCCGACCCCTCACAGTGTTCAAGAGAGAACTGGATAAGCACCTCCAAAGGATACCTGATCAACCAGGCTGTGACTCGTACGTCAGGCTGCGAGCAGCCGCGTCCAACAGCCTGGTTGATCAGTCTGGCAACCAGGAGGCCTGGTCGACGACCGGGCCGCGGGGACGCTAAGCCCCGGAAGCACCTCAAGGTAACCTCAAGGTAGCCTATTGACATAGCTTGAGTGCATGGGGGGAATTGCGTAAAACCTTGATTTGTGTCTGAGAGACTGCAGAATCTGTTGGTAAATCAGAATGATTTCCCAGTTGCAATTCTTTTGACCATGTAGTAGCTCAGTCGATTAAGGCAGCGTCTGGGATCCTCTCAGACGTAGGTTTGAACTCTCGTCATGGCCCTTGTGAACAGACTGACAGAATGACCATCACAATTAGTGAGAGGATTTGACATGTCACTCCATGATAAGCTACTCTGCAGACCCACAGAAGTACCAGGGTCTGAAAGCTAAATTAAATAGGATATCCAGGCATTAAGGACACACTGGAGAACAGACACCAAATGCAGCCTATGCAATAAACTCCTCTACAAAAGGTGTGTGTGGTGTGCCATCTGAACAAGTTCATATACCCTAGCACACCCCACAATTCATAACCAACAGAAAACTCCCAGTCACAGGACCTTGCAGAAGAGTCAAAGGCCTATGCACTACCCAGAGTGAGGTTCGCCACTCTAGTGGCTAGAGGGGTGCGGCTATCATGGGTATATTCTCAAGCACACCAGAAAAAGCAATTCTGTAAGTGTAGGGGCAAAACTAGATGAGTGCCTAGGAAAGGATCACCCTAGACATAATCAGCTCATAGTGAAAACAGACCAAATCCATACAAGAAATGCAGAAGATAAACATGCTCACAAAGCAAATACTTAAAAATAAGAACAATAAGCAAATACTAGTATTGTAAATGGTCCCAGAGAACAAAGTACGAAGGATGACCAGCATTTATCTGAGAGGAAGTATTATTCGCTTCAATAAGGAGACTCTGTGGAGGGTCTAAGTCCCTAGACAGCAACTTCTGATCCAATGTTAACCTAGAAGCAGAAGCTAGGGAACATCACCTGTTGGCGGCTTTGTGTGCTAGGAAATTCAAACAAAGCTTCGGGTAAACCATTTTTTGATTTTGAATGAATAGTTCGCAGAATCATTTCGCAGTTTTGGAAATTCATTTTATGAATTATACTGTATTGTATTGTCTGTATTGCTCCACTTAATTTCCGAATGCTTTCTCGGTGTAGGTGATTGTAACAATCCCCAGCTCTCTGCACCTGTGTGAAAGGGAAAGCCAGATTATGGCACTGGTCCCCGGTAGGCCAATCAGGACTCCAATGACTGATGTAACTCAGTAGTGGGAAGCCATCACAGGGAGACGCATATTTTTCGAAGCTTCAAGGAGTCACTGAGGGGCTCCCCCAGAAAAATATATCCCACAACATTCATTAAAAAATGTGCCATGGTATACCATGACATTTAATACTGTTCAGCAGAAACCCTAAAATTATTTTTTCTGGCATTGCGGTGAAGCAAAATACATGAATTATTAAGAAACTCGTTTATGTAAAATGTATATAAATGTACAGTATGTACCTACAAAATATTTCTATTAAACAAATTTATGACCATAGGGTTTTCACTGTACAGTATTAAACAAAAATTTAAAAAAATAAATGCTGCATCAAACACAAGCAAGTGCTGTAAACTTAAGAGGCACAGTTAAAAAATGTAACTGTTAATAAATTAATATTTAAGCAAGGTAATAATAAAGCTAAAGATTAATAAAGAGGCTAAAAACCTTTGTTAATACATTACTCTTAAATTTAAAAATGAAGCATCATAACATTAATTTAACTTTAATGGTCAGTCAAGTTGAAATTTATTTCTGATACAGTATACTGTACATAATGTACTATATATATATGTACCCATACAAGTAGTCTAGCAATTGTAACATAAAATAGTATTAATACCTGTTAACAACATCCCTGTGCATTTCATTATACTTGTCTGGATCTTCTGGGGTTCCCACAAGTGGATTAAGATCACGGAGTCGCACACCTGCAATGTTCACTCCAGACCATACTGGCACTAAAAGGAAAAGAATTTGTATGTTGTGTTAAAAAAATGTCAATACAAGAAACTCAATCCACAACTTTTAAGTGGCTTATGTCCTCCTCCAGACTAGGCACCACATTTGCATCTCTCTGCAATTGTTACCGTGCTTGACTAATGATTTATTAAATATGCAAGACAAGAGCTTACCAAGATCATTTGAACATTCTTTAAGGATCTTGTTGTACACTTTATCTGGTCCAGATGAAGGACCAGATTTGTTATTTTAATTTATTTATTTGTTTAATAACCTTCCTGGCAACCAATGAACTATTCAGTGTAACTTCAATTGTTGATATAATAATTCATTAAACTTTGTAACTAACTTAAGAGACTTTCTTAGCTAAATTAATTTTAGGTGATCAGTTCCTGAACTCATTACATGCCTATAACCTTTTCCACTACCACCTAGAGGATGGGTATGAGGCAGAGTACAACCTACTGGATAGGTATTGGGTGCACTACCACCTAAGGATGGGTTGGGGTCCACTACTGCCCACAGAATGGGTATGAAGTCCACTACCACCCATAGGATGGGTATGACATAGAATGATGAACCTAAACTAACTCCTCCTAACAGCTAGTAACATAGTAGTGTTCAACTGTAGGCAAAATATCAACCAAAATATACTTACTAGTACAGTATTTACTTTAAATAAGTACTCTATACTAAATACTGAGAAAATACTTATGTATTTCACCCATTTCTTTGTCATTATGTTACTTGTTGACCTGTTTTATTTTTCAATGGCTCAGTCTTTTCCAGAATCTTTGTTTGATAAACTGTATACATAAAAATCCCTTGCAATTTTTCTTTGCCGTCTCTTCTATGTGTACAGGTGCTTCAATTTTTTTTTTTATATTTCTTTTTTTTTTTAACAGTTCTTATTAATTTAATAAACTGTCAATGTAGATTAACTTTCAATTCCAAATTAGATTATAAAAATACAATAGATTTATTTTTCCAATAAGATGCCTACAAATTTTATGTACTGCAACTATAGTATATTGCATGGGAACAAACAGTAAGTATTACCTGAAGAATCTCCATGTTCACCAATAATCCAGCCATGACAAGATGAAGGGGCAACATTGAGTTTCTGTGACAAATGAAATCGGAATCTTGATGAATCGAGGTTGGTTCCAGAACCAATCACCCTGTTCTTTGGCAGTCCAGACAACTTCCAAGCTACATAAGTTAAAATGTCCACTGGAAGAGAAAAAACATTGTTAAGAATGCATTTAAATGGCATTATAGTACTTGATAAAATGTACAAAAACAACAAAGCCATTTATAGGTTATAAAAGGTAAAGTAAAAAATTATAAATAAATAAATTCAGTATATTGTAAATATAAAACACATTGTAAAGTAAATGTTTCTAATGAGAATGAGGAATTTACTATTAAAACTTGTCTTTATACAATGCTTGAATCAAGATGGCTAATCTGATAAACACACACCTTTACCTCCTAGACATACATAATATATAACATGGCACATACCAGGGTTTGAAACAATAAGAAGGATGCAGTTTGGAGAATACTTGACAAGATTAGGAATAATTCCCTTGAAGATGTCAACATTGCGTTGTACAAGAGAAAGACGAGATTCCCCTTCCCTTTGTCGAGCTCCAGCTGTTACTATACACAGTCGGGAACCAGCACTCACTGCATAATCAGTGCTAGCTTCAATTTTCACATTGCTGAAGCACAAAAGATTACACTGGGTTTAGTGGATGAGAAAAACCAAACATTGTAAAATTATAAAGATACAGTACTTAGAATAAATGGCATGTTTGTAGGCAAGTTTCATATGGTATTAAAAGAATCATATTTTGTTATTTGCATTGTATATGCCTCCTGCAAAATATATACATTATAGCTAGTCATTATTATTTTATTTTAATAAATTAAGCAAATTAGACAATGTAAGCCATTTCAGACCTAAGGAATGTTAAACCATGCTGAAGATCCATCATCTCTCCTCGAAGCTTGTCAGCAGCAACATCACAGAGAGCTAGCTCAGAGCAGATGTGCTGGGTCACAAGAGAGAAGGCACAGGCCATTCCCACTTGGCCCACACCCACTACAGTCACCTTGCCACCAGAGGTAGTCAAGGCAGGCTGAACCTCCTCCATCAAAAGTTGTGGAATAGATGCCATCTTGATTGCTGTAGGCAGTAAAGGAATACATTAACAATTATTTATGTATATAAAAAGTTCTTAAATAGTAACATTATAAGCAAAAATTATGGACAAAATAATTATTACAAATACAAGCACAAGACAAAATTTGTTGAATGTTAAAGGAAAACATTTCAAGTCCAATTGCTGACTTAGTACAGTATTGTATTACTGTATAAGACATTTAGTATGGTACCCTTGACTAGAGATAAAGTGCTTGGATATTTTCAATATTTGACATTTAATATTTAATGTAATATTTAATATAATAAGTAAGTCTACAGGATAGTGTTTCCTTAAAATCATCTTTAGTTCATACCCCCTTACAGTCTTATTCAGCATTTTAACTGATCATGATAACACACTGGCACAACAACTGATTTTTGCGAGAAAGAAAAGGAGCGAGTTAGGCCATTCTGCTCTTGAGCCAAAGGACAGGTCTAGATTTCCCAGGCAATTTAGATTGGATTACTGTATCCCAGATCAGGGAATCCTCCCCTGCTCATGTTTAAACCAGGTACACCCTCAACCGAAAGGTAAATCCAGCTTCTCTCTGCATATACACCAAAATGTATATACACGTTTCAAGTGTAGTTTCATACACACTACACTCAAATTCATAGTTTCATACTCCATACACAGTTTGAAATGTAGATATGATAGAGCCCAGTAGGCTCAGGAAACTGTACATTAGTTGATTGACGGTTGAGAGGCAGGACCAAAGAGCCAGAGCTCAACCCCCGCAAGCACAATTAGGCGAGTAGAATTAGGTGAGTACAGTATTGTACTTGCTAGTTGGTCAGTAAGCTAGTGCAGTATTATGCTGTGAAACCTCCTCAGGTTGACAAGCCTTAATTTAAACCCAATACAACACCAACTGGGCCTCTTACAATGTACTATAATTCAAACAGGAACAGATTATCAGATCCAAACTTGGCAGTTAGTTCATGCCAAGCTTATGAACTTGTCTCGGTATGAATAATCATACAACGATGTCATAACTACCAAACCTGTTCTGAATTTCAAAATATACCAGGAAAATATCAAGTCAAATGGGGGAGGGGAGCCTTCGACAAGCCACCGGCTTCCTGTTCTCACTGAGACCACTAGGATTAGTGGCCCTCAAGTAAAAAAAAAATGACATTGCAGTACAAATGTCTATCCCGAGGTACAACTGTTGGGGTATGTTGCACATACCTGTACTTGCACTGTAAGGAAAATATGGTCTAGGGTACAGACATAGGCTGGTCAGGGTAGGCCAAAGTTAAATGATTAAATAAAAATGAGTAATTATTGACGTGCAAGTAATCAGGATGTACATTACTATAATAGCTTTGCTAACAGTTTGTAGTAGTGGTGGTGGTGTTGGTAATGGTGGGTGTGGTGGTAATGGTAAGTGTGGGTGTGAGTAATGGTGGGTGTGGGTAAGTGTGGGTGTGGGTAAGTGTGGGTGTGGGTAAGTGTGGGTGTGGGTAATGGTGGGGTGAGGTGGTGGAAGAGGAAAGGATGGTGGGGGGGAGGGATGGAAGCATTGCATACTGGTGGGGGGGGGGGGTGAGAGGAAGACAGATTACAGTAGGGTGCTGGCAGAGGAGAGAGGGGGGGGGGGACAGATTGCCAAACTTCACTAGCTACATATACACCTAATTTGAAATCCGGCCAAACTTAATGTTCTAATGCATTCTGCATTTTGAGAAGTATCATTAAATCTCAGGCAGGACAGAAATGGTTGGGCATCTTTCCTGTCCTGTAATGCCATTTATCCACCTAGCAGTAAGTAGGTACCCAGGAGTTAAGACAGCTTTCCATTCACCTGGGGTTCTAGGAGACTCGAACCTGGACCCCAAGCACAAGGCTGAAGCTCTAGTAGCCAGAGCTTGTTGTGGAGGTTAGTTTCTGGTGGGGGTGGGGGGGGACTTGATATAAGCCTAACAGGTATTGGATGTATGTACTGGCTGCCTGTCCCCCGACACAATGAATTATGAATTATTAAATTATATAATTGCAATTATGAGCAAATATTAGGAAATTCCATTATTGAAACTAGTTCAGATTATGACAATTAATATGGTTCCGAAATATGTATGCTCCAAATATGCTGTTATAATTTTTGCTTTAACAAAAATATTGCTCAAAACTTTATCACTGAAGACTTATAGTCGCAGATGAATGGCTTGCTGTGAACAGGCTGGCTAGATGTCTAGTCCAGCCTAATTCCAAAATTGTAATATCAAAATAATATGTGGCCAATTCATTTAGCAATGCCAACCATCAGATATACATTTTGAGAGGCGGGACCAAAGAGCCAAAGCTCAACCCCCGCAAGCACAATTAGGCGAGTACAATTTTTTTATTATTCTACTCAATCTGTGGCTATACATAAAGTGTAGTGTTGTTGTGAGCCTCTTGTTGAGTCATTATGAATGACGTACTTACACATTTCTTGGACACTATTGATGGTATCTCTAAATTCCGCGATTTTTTCACATGTGCGACTCATCATAGATGTAAAGTGCCTTGTATAGTGACTGTTGTGAGCCTCTTGTTGAATCACTTGTGACAAAAGATTATTGATGTGTGTATTTGTGTGGGTGATTAAATATGTATGTGTATGTATATATGTATACGTATGTATATGAATATGCATGCATGAGTATGTGTACATGTATATATAACATTAATAGTTTTCTAACTAGCGTCAAAAGATTGTTATTTGCTTAGCTAAACGAACTAGAGGGTTCAGTTCCTGAACCGATTAAGTGTCTCTATAATCCTTTACACCACCGCCCACGGGATGGGTATGGGGTGCATAATAAAGAAATTGAATTGTTATTAAGCACTCGACTACAGATCATATGATTGAAATGATTTTACAGTTCTAAGTGTAAAATATGTGCATTTTCGTCATTTTGTTATGCATCCCAGACCGATCACGTGAGCGGTGGAGAAAAGGATAGTTATGAGTGGAGAGCACGAGGCTATATAAATAGCTTGGTCGCCCTCCCCCTCTTAACCCTTCCTCGTCCTCTGCGGGCGTCTTTGCTAGGGGTGACCTAGGGCAAACTTTTGTTTCATAGGTCTATTTAACGTATTTAATTTTTACGGTATTATAGTGTGTACTCACCTAATTGTGCTTGCGGGTGTTGAGCTCTGGCTCTTTGGTCCCGCCTCTCAACCGTCAATCTTCAGGTGTACAGGTTCCTGAGCTTATTGGGCTCTATCATATCTACACTTGAAACTGTGTATGGAGTCAGCCTCCACCACATCACTTCCTAATGCATTCCATTTGTCAACCACTCTGACACTAAAAAAGTTCTTCCTAATATCTGTGGCTCATTTGGACACTCGGTTTCCACCTGTATCCCCTAGTGCGTGTGCCCCTTGTGTTAAATAGCCTGTCTATCTACCCTGTCGATTCCCTTAAGAATATTTAATGTGGTGATCATGTCCCCCCTAACTCTCCTGTCTTCCAACGAAGTGGGGTTTAATTCCCGTAGTCTCTCTTCATAGCTCATACCTCTCAGCTCGGGTACTAGTCTGGTGGCAAACCTTTGAACCTTTTCCAGTTTAGTCTTATGCTTGACTAGATATGGACTCCATGCTGGAGCCACATACTCCAGGATTGGTCTGACATATGTGGTATATAATGCTCTGAAAGATTCCTTACACAAGTTTCTAAAGGCCGTTTTTATGTTAGCCAACCTGGCATATGCCGCTGATGTTATGATGAGTGAGTGAGTGAGTGAGTGAGCACTTACTAGTATCTACTGTTACTATTTGTGCCTGATGGAAAGAGCCTTTCTAACCATCGGTTGTCTAATGTATCGACTCCCGATCTATTTTTATGTTTCTCTCACACGCATCCCCAGGATGCAACCCGTAGCAGCTGTCTAACTCCTAGGTACCTATTTACTGCTAAAAGAACACCGGTATCAAGCGAAAGAAACTGCACATTTGTTTCTGCCTCGACCGGGAATTGAACCCGGGCCCTTAGGACTTCGACCCCAGAACACTGTCCACTTGGCTCTCTCTGTACTCAAAGTTGTGCTTGCACACACACACACACACACACTGTGTATTCACCTAGTTTTCTTTGCGGGGGTTATTTGTACTTTTAGTACGTGGGTGAAGCATTTATAGCGTTGTGCTTCGAACAAAATTCGTCAGTGAAGCACTTGTTCCGGAAGTGTTCGAACGAAATCAGTTGTGAGTCTTGTGTAAATCTATTTTCGTTCATAAACAGGGGGTTTGGGGCAGCCCGTCCTCCAAACAAAGACCCAAAAGTGATTCCATGCACCCGCCAAACCCCCTGTTTATGAATGAAAAACGGTTTACGCACAACTCATAACTGATGACCTGTCTAACGCCTAGGTACCTATTTACTACTAGGTGAACAGAGGCATCAGCCGAAAGAATATGTACCTGGGTTAAGACTATACGACCCCCAGGACGCTGGCGTGATAAAAAAAATAGGATGCACCACTGACAGACTGCAAATTATAATTATACATTCAGGAGAACACACCTGCACTAGACCCTGGGTTGCTTTATTCATTGGGATCACGCCACACTCTGGAACATCACAAAGTTCACAATAAAATACGTCATTATAATAATTGTAAATTCAAATTACCGACTCGTGTCATCTAAACAAAATGGGACCAGCGTAACGCTAATTGATTATATTATAGGGAAAGCCTATCACAACAGCAGCTCCGGTGTACAAGGAGCTGATGTTCAACTTCTAAAGTTGAACTTAAAGTTTAACTTTAAGCATAAAGTAAATTTATTGAGATAAAATACATTCCAGAAGGATAGAGTAGCTATACTGTATTAGGAAAAGGCATGAGTGGCCAAATTATTGGTCATACCAAAATAGCAAGACTAAATTGAATTTTTTGAATAAAATAAGTAGGTCTCAACCGTAAGCCTAAATAATAAGATCGTCTATTAAGTGCCCTAATAAGAATAAGTAAGATAAGACCGCAAGCTTACAAAATAAGATCTGTAGGCTTCAACCGTAAATGTACGGAATGTCAAGACTTCTTGAAAGGCTTGCTATCCTGACATTCTTGAATCTTAATCACTTTATCTTGGTCTTATAAATGTTGTCAGAATATTTAGTAGTGTGGTGATATTTTAATCTTTGTATAAAATTTTTACACCCAACCACCAGTATCCATGTCAACACTCCGTATGTACACATGAACCTTGAACCTATGTAAGATTAATCGTGGAGTATGCAGCTCTAGCATGGAGTCCATACCTTGTCAAGCACAAGACAAATCTAGAGAAGGCTCAAAGGTATGCTACTAGATAAGTTCCAGAACTAAGAGGTATGAGTTACGAGGAAAGGCTGCGCGAATTGCACCTCACGTCACTGGAAGACTGAAGATTTAGGGGAGACATTATTGATATGGTGGTTATCTTGAGATGGTTTCGGGGCTTAGCGTCCCCGCGGCCCGGTCCTCGACCAGGCCTCCTTTTTGTTACACACCCCCAGGAAGCAGCCCGTAGCAGCTGTAACTCCCAGGTACCTATTTACTGCTAGGTAACAGGGGCACCAGGGTGAAAAACTTTTTGCCCATTTGTCTCCGCCTCCACCTGGGATCGAACCCAGAACCTCAGGACTACGAATCCGAAACGCTGTCCACTCAACTGTCAGGCGTCCTGGTATATTGCATATTTTGAAACTTCTGTACAATATATAAAAGTTTTTAAACAAAACTGAAATTACGTACAAAACGACAGTTTCCTGAATTTACCTAAAAGCCATTAAATCTCTAGTGGCCTTTACGGGGACAGAAGTCGATGGCTTGTCAAATCCCCCCCCCCCTATTATTCCTGAGGATTTTTCATACTGGAATTTGAACTGAAATAATGCCTCGGCTTCCATTGGCAGGCAATTCCATGGGTTTATCTATACAATAGGAAAGAACGTCTGCCTGTCCAAAGTTGGAGGCTAGACGTTTCCCGACCTTACCCAAATTTGTTGGGAGTCTGGGGTACGGGACGGACATAGGCTGGTCTAAGTTTATTTAATGAATACATTATTATTATACTATACATTATTATTTATTTAATGATTTAAGAAAATAAATAATTATTGACCCCCCCAATCCTATTCTCACGTATTCCAATTATGGTCAAGTGTGAAATATTAATTGAGATGTCCAAAGAGTTTTTCGTTACCAGAAAATAATATTTCCTTAAGTCACATAGTAGTTTCACTGATCCCTAATATTGGATTTTATGGAAGGGAAGAAGGGCTAAGCGGAAGAAGGAGAGCTGGGAAGGAGAGGGAGGACGAGGGGGGAGGGAGGAAGGGTGGGGAGGACGAGGGGAGAGGCAGGATGGTGGGGGGGGGAGGAGGACGAGGGGGGATGCAGGATGGGGGGGGGGACGAGGGGAGAATGAGACGGCCACGAGGGAACCGCCGGCTACTATAGTAATCTACGTGTAAAAAACGTGTTTTCTACCTACATTGTGGCTTGTTGAGATTGAAGATGTTCCCCCCCCCCCCCCTCCCCCTTGTGTGCGGCGTTACATTTTATCTTTTCAAAGAAGTGGTCTGGATTAATATCCTCCAACTGGTTCAGTATTTTAAGTCAGGATGGGATCAGCCCCGTCATATCTGGTTTGCAGTGTTAGCCATGTGGCCTCAACCGTTCCTGGTATTAGAGCTGATAGTTCTGGGACGATTTTTGTCGCCCTATATTTTCGAGAATATAATTGTAATCAATGTTATCTTTACCTGATAAAACATCTTCCTATTCCTCTTGGGTGACACTGATCAACGCACTCGGGGTCTGAAATCACGTTAAATATCCCTAAGGAATTGAATTGTCGGTGATATCACTCACTGACAACACAACTAGCTTAAAATATCACCGTAAAGCAAATGGAAAAAGCACTTCCAAATAACTACAGTTTTGGAAGGCCCCCCATATAACAACCCTTCTTCGGACAAGGCTTATCCAAGTTGGGTCCAACCCCGAAGATCCATTCATCAATTTGAACGCACCATGTACTAAAAATCAATATTTTCTCAAATATAAATTATATATTAGAACTTATGTAGTTAAGCATTGGTTAGTTTTATTTGCAGTACTAGAGCTGTTGTTGTTGTTGTTAAAGATTCGCTACTTGGAACAAAGTTCCAAGTAGCACGGGTTATGGTGAGCCCATCTTCTGAGCATGAGCCGTAGTACTAGAGCGAAGCATTTACCGAGGTGCGGGTCAAGAGGGCTGTACTCACCTAATTGTGCTTGCGGGGGTTGAGCTTTGGCTCTTTGGTCCCGCTGTGGGCGAAACACTGTTCTAGGAAAGTTCCAACGACATCAGAGTTAAGTCGAGTAGTCTGTAGTGTTTCATTCATAAACTGGGGGTTTGATGGCTAGATTAACGGATTTGGCTGGATTCATGGATTTGGCCTTTGACGAGGACAGACCCATAATAAAACAAATACCGCCGCTAATTATAAAAATGAGCTATATTCGTATCTATAAAGATCCAAGGCACTAAAGTCAGCACCATTGAAGCACGAGGGCGCGCTAGCTACAGGTGTAGCTAGTGGCAAATGGTTCATTAGTTGGCTACTCAAACACAGCTAAAAATATCCCGCCTGTCTTCCTTACCTTCCTCCAATATGGTATCAGTGTATTTCCCCTAAGAATTCAAGCACGCTTTTCCGCGAAAATCCTCCAGGCGGATGCTTGTAATCTCATGAGCGTCCAACGAGCGCCTAAACTAGGACAATGTGTGGCCCCTGTGCATGACCCCTTGGGAGGAGCGCGCCCGTCAAGCGGGGCGGGGACACTTGGCTGCAGGGCTTGGCTGTGCTGGACACGTCGACGGTTGCGATCGCTCACAGACAACAGACGCAGCAGGCTCTTCACCATTGAATATTCACACTTCTAGTGTACACTACTAGTTCGATACTATCAATACCTCCCTCTACACCTTACTTCCCAAACTATAAAAAGTTTTCAGCTTCCTTTGTATTTTGCTATAGTCAAAGTTCACTGAAAAAAAAAAAAAAAACTATTTATTACATCAATATTTTCAAGGATATTCAGTTATGCAACGATTTATCTTATACCAAGAAATCTTCACTTGACACGATGTTGACAAAGCAGATGCCGCAACGCAAATACACGACTTCGAATATTACATCAATATTTTCAAGGACTTCGCAAATATTCCTTAATCAACAAAGTCGCAAACTATTCACCTTGGAAATGCTCAATACCGCGAAGTCAAAAGGAGCGACTAAGAGCGTGACCCGCTACCGACGACGACACCGGCTCGACTGAGACACTCTCCAAGCGGCAGCCTCCGACCTCTACAAGGTGTAAACTCCGAGCCAAAAGGGCGCCGCGGCGTCTTGAGGAATTCTAGGGACTACGTCCGGTCTGAGTTTCGTCATTAAAATGGATTACGTGACTATGCGCATGTCGGAGATGTCTATTTTTAAGTTGCTATGCACTTCGGCATTAAAAGAAATTGTGACCTTAGGTACTGCAAGATTAGTTTGATTTAAATTTCGGTCATTATGTCAAGATGTTATCATGTGAAACACGCGCATAAGATATTTGATAGACGTAAGTGTGTTTTATCAAGGTTTGTTAGTCAAAAGCGGAATTTGTCACATTACAGATGTATACATTACTCTTCGTAATCAGACATTTCATGCGTTGAATTTTAATCTCACCCTTCAATGCCTTTGAACTTTAAGCACTTGCAGTAATATTTCATGTCACTGGTGTATATATGAAACTACAGACAGGTAAAGACATAACATTTATAGCTATCACAATATTTCAGCGACCCGTCTGAATCACAGACTAATATATCATAATTTATGGATCATATGCACAGAGCTCCAAGGCCAGTGCAGCCTTGAATCTGAGCAGAGTTTTAAAACAACCAGCTAAATAAACAAACGTATGTTTTAATCAACAGTTCTTACGAAAATGTATGCTTTTACCATAATATTTATATTATATTTCCTAAATAAATACATTAATACCCCTAATGGTCTTGGATGCAATTATAACTTATATTCACTAAAAGGTAATTATGAGGAGAAAGGGATCGAACGCCGACCTGCAAGAGAGACCGTAGCTGTACCGACCAGTCCAGTGGTTGGGATATACTCACTACCGATCTAATATAACCGGATGTTAGAATCTGGTAGATTACAAATGTGAGACTGACATTGAGAATTACAAACTAACCAGCTACTGAAATCGTATCCAGTTCATTTCGTCGAATGAACATGCAAACGTTTAAAGAACATATAAACTTGCATTGGTGGGACCTAACAAGATTGGTTCCCTAAAATACGACTCATTCTCTACGTCATTGTTTCTCACTGTGTCCCAGGAGGAGCGAAGATGATATACCCATTTTAAAATGTCACAGTTTGTTATTCGTCCATGCATGCATGCATGCATGGACGTGCATGCATGCATACACAAACACACACACACAAATATATGCATACAAACACAATGTGTGCATGTGCTCCCGATTTTTGTTTAAATTATGGTGTACCAAATATATAAGCTGTAAATGCACCATATTATCATACTCGCGAATTCTAATACTAATGGTACAAAGTGTACATCCAATACAGCTGTTATTAACACGAAACAATTTACAAAATAGATATTTTATTTACATTTTACAATTTACCTTTTCAATGTGACGATAACGAATGAATCAACTTTCTCGACAATTAATAATTTTGTTAATTGTAGCAAATTGTATGTGCATTTTAATTGTATGTGCTGGCTTCGTTCTTGACCCACACTCGGGGATCCCGGGCGGAACAAATGTGGTTGGGGACTTTTCTTTTCACCTAATGCATTTGTTCACCGAATCAAATAACCAACGTTGATAACACTCCAAGGTTAAGTGAACGTCAAACTAGTGTGGTTTGCCTGTCGCATGGATTTATGAGAGGTTGTGTGGAGCTCAGGATGTTATGATAGATCATCTACTCCACCAGCAAACTGCAACCGCTGCTGATAACACACAATCTGGCTTATCAATGTTAGGCTATCCGCCAGCCACCCTCACACCTCCACCACCTCATCAACACTATAATAATAATGTTTATTTAGGGAAAAGTATATACAATACATATAAAATGAGTTTCAAGCAGAATGTTGGATTTCTAGAAGAAACAAGTATATTCCATCCCAAAAGTCACTAATTCACACACCGTTTCGGGCACGATGTGGAAAAATAATCTTAAAAACTAAGATTTAAAAGTTAAAACTCGTATATCTTCTGGCGTCTCATACGTCTACTGGCAGCCTTGAAATAGTGAGTTAATGCCAGGTGCTTGAAGTCTGACAGGTATGTTTTAAATGCAGCTGAAGCAAACAACTTAAAAAATAATGACGGCTTGAAAATGCATGAGGAAAAACAGCATTATAAAAGCCATAACTTTCATACCAGCATGACACGCTAATATATACGATGCACAATTTTACGATAATGTGCTGATAAAACGAAGTTTGGAAGAGGAAATGCTGATAACAGATAGTGGCAAGCTATGACGACGCGCTCGCCCTGAGTTTCATATTACAGTATATACAACTGTACGTATATACATTGTATATACAGTACGTACATATAAAATTTATATATATATACGTACATATACATTGTATATACGTATGTACATTGTATATTTCGTTATATACATTGGTAAGAAAGCAAAACAAAAATTCTGCCGTTAGTACCAAACCATTTGAGCAGATAAACATGCATTTGATAAATTCTTTATTCTTAGCGTAGTCTTAATTGTTTTAACAATTAAGGACCTGCCCAAAACGCTCTGTGTTAATGGCTTTGCAAGAATGTTAAACTCAAATCCCAATGTAAGTACCTTCTGAACCCAATGTACCTTTTATATAAATAAATAAATAAATAAATAAATAAATGCAGAGTTGGTATTGAAAGCTACAGACTGTAGTATTCTAGTCTAAGTACGTCATCTATCTATAAGAGAATGTCTGTCTGTATGCAAATGATGGCCAGACACTTGCGGCTAGCCTCCCCCAACTTTGCAGGGTGAATGGTCTGGGGTACGGTACGGACACAGGCTGGTCGGAGTCGGTCCTATTAGTCATATAAATAAGATTTCAGACCAAATAACGACCCCCCCCCCCCCGACCAAATAGTGACCCTCCCCCCCACACCTAATCGGTGAAAGGTGGTTTGCCGAGTCACTAGATTTCTCCATTTTTCTGGGAAAGAGAAAGGAAGACAACGAAGGAGGAGATGGTATGACTGAAGAGAGGGAAGAAGAGGAGGGGTGAGAGAGTAAGATAGGTATGAGAGGGAGTGAGGGTGGATGTTAGGGAAAAAGAGAGGTGGAGAGGTGGTAGAGGGAGAGAGAGCCACAGGCGGGGTCCCCTTGCTAGTATGTCGTAAGTCAAGCTGGCATTATAAACCTTTGTGGCAAATGTTTTAAACTCCACTATGTACCCCGCCTAACACGTGTATACAGTCAACTGTGAACAAAGACGTTGAAATAGTACGTACTGCCGTTCCTGCTACAAGTCGACTTATCGGCCAATCTGGAAAAACAATATTTTCCAGGAACATCCGCTTAGATCGGTACAGCGCCGCTCTTACGGGCTATTCGTGCCCATGCCGCCTCTTGGATGGCTTAATCTTCATCATCGGTACAGCGCTGGTCAAGCTTTTTTGCAAAATTGGCGTTTGATCCACAATAACACATATTTGGACACTGTTCCTCCACTCCGTCCTCAAATCCCAGTTCCTTGTCGTCATATTCTTCCAAGTGTTGTATTGTCATGCAGACGATGAGTCACAATAACGTGACTGAAGAATGATGACCAAACCACACATTAGAGAATTGAGAAACGACCTTTCAGTCCGTCCTGGACCATTATCACATCGTGTAAAGACCAGACTGTGCCGTCATGCTGGCTTAGCAGGACTTTCGGCACGCCTTATTTATTTCAGGGGGCCCTGCAACAGGTTTCTTTGCCCGAGGCCCCGCTAGGCTTGCGGTGCTTGAGCGCTGGCTGGTTGCGGTACAACAAAGAGAATTAAGTCCACTACCGGCTCACCATTGCATCTAAAACAACAACAACAAAGAGAAACTGGTTTTGTGGCTGATCCATAGTGCGTAGCAGTGCTTGAGAAGCAGGTGAGGATACAGCGGCCCTCCCCCAGCTCCTTCCCACCAATTCTAATTAGGTTATCTTCATTACGGTGCGTCTTTACCTAGTCTTTATTTTTGTAATTGCTCCTTCGTTTAAATACTAAAAAACGTGACAAAAACTGAACCATTACTACACGATTTTCAAAATTATCAATTTATATATAAATTTACTACATGGATATTTCTCACCTAAAATGCACTACTTAAACGTCGCTTACAAGACAATAGGACATTTGAAACAACAAAATCCCAACTGCTCACGAGAATAAAATAAAGAGCTTTTAAAAGAATATTAATTTACAACATGACTTCGAGAAACAGGAGTTAACATGCGGGTGTTGAGACAATGACGCAATACTGACGCAACCCTCTCACCAGACGGAGTTGGGGGGGTGGTGGGGAGAGGGGCAGACGCAATACCTACTCAGCTGCATTGCCTGTCAGTACCCCCTGCCCCCCCCCTCTAGAAATGCGACAACGGACAAAAATTGGTGTTAGAACACCCTATCTTAACCTAATCGAGCGACCCACGAATAGAAGGTTTGAAAGTTTGAGTCGTATGATTTGTTTTGTCCGTTGGGGGGGGGGGGATTTCGATGTCAAAATGCGATGTATTATTCGAGAGGACAAGATGCAAGCTGTGTGAGTGTACTCACCTCTTTGTGCTTGCGGGGGTTGAGCTTTGGCTCTTTGGTCCCGCCTCTCAACCGTCAATCAACTGGTGAACAGGTAAGATTCTGAATGATTCCTTACACAGGTTCCTGAAGGCTGTTCTGATGTTAGCCAGCCTCGCATATGCCGCAGACGTTATTCTTTTTATGTGGTGTGTGTGTGTGGTGGGGGGGGGAGGGGGCATCATGAAAATGAGTGCTGGATTTATGTCGAATGAAATTGTTCTGGTCTCTGTGTTGCGTGCGTCAGCAACTAGTTTTGAAGTTGAGTTAATTAATAATGAATCAGTTCAGTTCAGTTGTGTATGCGTGCTCATCACCGTGTGGATGCTAGATGTGAAGTGTTGGTAAGTTAGTAATGCAGGCTGTTTTACATTTGTGTGAATAATTGCGAGTAAAATGTATTTTAGATATATATCGTGTATGTGTGCTTCAGCAAATGTATACAGTACATTATATATACTGTGTATTATTTTCTGTTAAATACATGAAAATATA